TGAAAATAAATTCCATTTATTTTGAGTAATTTGGATGTGGTTCTGCACTGCATTACCGTAATACCATTAAACAGCAACTTGCCAAATCTTAACTAGTATACAAGATAGGAACATCAAGGAGCCTAAGCAGGAACTACAAGCCTTGTCTAGACCATTCTTTCTGAAGAGCTACATAGCAACTCACTAATTGCTACACCAATAAACAGGAAAAACACTTCCTACAGTCATCTCATAAATCAGCTTATTGTTACTATATTCTTAATCTCCGTCTAACTTTTCCTACACTATGACTGCTCAGTATTTAACATCCTTATTTAAGGCTGCTTCTAGTACATATAAACAAGTATACACTGCCCATATACTTGTTTGTTTTTGTTTGGTTACAGCACGCTCAGGTAAGTAATTGTTGCTAACTAACTAGTAGTAAAGGAGGACCCAAACACAAAACCTTGTAAAACCTAAAGCATCCATGCCACATTTGGGGGAGGGGGGGGGGGGGGGGGGGGGAGAGAAGAGATAAAAGAAAAAAGGATATTCACAAACAGCGGCAAATAACTGCTCTATAGTCCTTCCTCTAGAGTTCTCTTCAGACCCAGACTAAATTATTAAACCAAACACTAAAGGATTCTCTGATCCCTACTACTTCTCTTTGTACCACATTTGTTGACTCCTGCTAATTGTACTGCGAGGTTACGAATATTTGCTGCAACTTCAAATACAGGCAAAGTGGCGTTCTGTGAAAAAGATTGTTTCAACTCTAGGCACCATGTAACGCTGTCAGAAGAGGGCCAAATGCTTATCTTTCCTTCACCTGGTGATTTATTTTGTGCACAGGATGGCTTAGTGTCAAAATACATTTCAGTCTGAAAAAGCATAAAAAAGATTATTAGCTGAAGAGGTGCGTTTTGCTAATATGTTCAGACTCGAAGTAAAAATGGTTTGATTAAAACAAAATACTAGAAAAACCCAAGCTATTGGGTTTTTCTCTTGAAGCAAGCTTCAGCTGCAAGATCCTTCAGCCGAGAAAGCCAAATTTGAAATTCCTCCTTTAAAAAAGCTATGTTTTCAGAACTGCTTGAAGGCTCTAAAATCAGTTAACCCGGTGCCTAAGTCACTTTTGAATATTCTGGTCTTCAGCACTTCACAGGCTGAGCAAAGCCAGCAATACCTGACCAAACTCGCAGAAAGCAGGCTGGAAAAACATACAGCCTCAAGGAGTTTCAGATCCCACGGAAACCCTGAGGTTTTGGCAGTTCCCATATTACACTACTGAAGTTTCTCTTCTTACCTCTGTGTTCCCAAGTGATCCTCGGTACTGGGCCAAATGCTACTGCCACTTCCAGTAACAAACCCCAAACTGCATAAAAAGCACAGAGAGCCATCTTCAGCGTCCTTGCTCTTCAGGGCTCCTTGGATAACTGCGGCAGGTAGCGTTTCTTCAGCAGAAGAAATGCAAATCTCAGAAAGTATTAGAGACCAGGCATTTCAGACCTTGAGCGCAATTGCAACAAGGCAGGCTGGAACAACCGTACAAGCACACGCTTTTCAGCAGATCACTTCTTCAAGGGAACGCACATTTTCCAGGATGCTGCATACAGAGACTGCCCACACTCTCCACAGGCTGCAGAGCTTCTGAGAAGCACGACTGAGCACATTCTTCTGTTTCGTTGCAGAAATAAATGATGCTGTGGAGAGAGGAGGGGAGCAAGAAGTAGAAGAGAAAGCAAACCCAAGTACTGCCAAGAATAGCACGTTGTATGCACCAGTCCTGCAATACTTCTACAGCTGTCTGCATAGCTTAATTTGGATGAAGAGTACATTAATTGGTGAAAATATGATTCTTAAAAACAAGCCACACGTTACATGGCAAATAGGCAATAACTGAAAGCAATCATTTCAATCTAGAATGCCAAGTACAAACATTTTGAACTTTCACTTATGTTTAATGCACAAAATTCAACTCTAGTTTACATATTTTCTCACTTTTAATAGTGAGTCGAAGAAAATCCCACCTCTCTGACAAATGATAAACCAAGATAAAAATCACTACGGCTAAGTTCAGAGAGCAAAGGACATGAGAAGTGCAGCATTAATCTTAAGCATTGGTTATACAAACCTGCCGCACCTCCCATCCTTGGGATCTCACGAACAAAAGTGTCATTTTTAGCAAAGTCTTTTCATGCTACTAACGCACTCAAGGCATGCGGGAGTAGAAAGAAATACATCTATGGAAACAAAGAGCTAATGTACTGCATACAAAAATAAAGGGAGAAAACGCTTAAATACTAAAACTGCTAGATAGTCCTACGAAAGTCAACTCTGTCTGTGAGCCACCCATTACTCTCAGGCCCAGAAAGGGCTCTGGCCTCAGCAATCAACAAAACCATTCACTGCTTTCTGCACCATCTTCCACAAGTCTCCACTGCTCTTGTCTTCCTCCAACCACTCCCAGGTCAAGGCTCTTCAGAGTGTTTACCAGGAGAAACAAGTGCATTCATCAATGACTAGATTACTGCATATGGATAGATTTTGAGAGCTGTACACTCGGGGGGTGGAGGTGAGGGGTGAGAAAAGCACATTGTCCTTTGCAGCAGGGCACAGAAGGTGCTAGATTTACACGGTACCATAGTAGTGTGTGTCACCAGTGTGACACTACTGAGAGACGCCACAATCCAAGAAAACCATAATATTTAGAGGTTATCCAGCATGAGGGCAAGGGAGGGTTGCAAAATCCGTAGTAGCATCCAAGAGGAAAGGAGCAGCACTTGAGGAGGACAGAAGTAAAAAAATTAGGCAAAGCTCAGCAAGAACGTCTCTAAGGACAAACGTGATTGCTGACAGCCTCTTTGGGAGGGAGAGGCCCCAGGTTTAAGCAGGCAAAGGCAAGGAATCTCTGGGAAGTGCAGCCAGCAGATCTGCTACCAACACAGAAGTAATGTGGCTGAGTAGAAGATAGACAAACACATTAGAAGCTTTTACACCTGCTTTACTAAATGATCACAGCCAAGGTTAAAAAAAATTTTTAAAAATCTCTTTTACTCCTACAAATCTGTTGTCTACTAAGAAAAAACACACACAAAACCACAACTTGCTCAAGCTGAACCTGTGACTTAAATAATTTTATGTGTTTTTTTAATTTTGGTAAACACTTTGCATCAGATCCAACTGTTTGTAATAGATCATATAAACCATTTTGGTTCTTAAGGCATCATATTTTCAGTTAAGCTTACCAGGCTTGTTTGTCTGTCTTGCACCCTTCCTGTTTATTATCATACATAAGCAATTCCACATTTTGCTCTCCAGCACATTAAAAAGTGCCCACTCAGAGTTGCAAGGTATCATACAAATGTATTCTGAGGCCAATAGCTTTACAGGTGAGTATTTAGAGAGTGAACAGTAGTTCAATGATTAAGTTCAAGGCAGTTTAAGGAATTTTATTTTAATGGAAACGTAAGGGATAAAAGAGCAGTTTCAAGAAAGATCTTTGAGTCATTATTTCTACACACTGCTAATTCTTTTTTTCATGCCACCTTTTGTTACCGAAAAGACTCCATGTAATAATCAATTCCCCATTAACTCTTGATATTTTTTTTTAAAAAAGAGACAGCCAGAACATCATTATTCAGTACCAGTCCCAACAATAAGCAATCATTTATGTACAATACCATAGGTAGAGATGTCTCTAGAAACGACTTCTGAAGTCCTGTACATTTTCTGGACTTTAAAATAGGATTAGCGAATCTATGCCCTCATAAAGAAAAATCCTGAGTCTCCCTACAGCCACGGTTACACACCTACCCTAGCTCACCTACCTCAGAAAATGCAAAATTACAACAAAATCTGAAACAAATTACATTACCTTCTGAAGACGACAAAAGGTCCAGTTGGGTTAGTGCCTACTTTGATGTGTGGCTGGAGAATTGCTCTGGCCACACGAAGCAGAAGTCTGTCATTCATTTCCACTGTATAGGTTTGCAAGACAGGCTCTTTTTCACATTACTAGGTTTGACTTGTGGGACATTATTTGTTGATCTAAGGTAAAATTTTGCATGTTAAAAAAGGGGGTGAGACAGACTACAGTGAACGTTACATGCCCAGTCGTGCAAGATCCACTTTGTTCTCATTCCTATTAGTTTAAATAGAGATGAAAATGCACTCAGGATCTTGTCCTTTAATTTAGCCTTCAATTTAATTACTCTCTCCCTGCCCTCCCTTCCCTGTACTGAAAATTATCTAGAATAACTCCTTCACTGACATCCACTGGGAAGTCATCCATAATCTAATATGAACCTGTTTTTAGATAACACAAGGGGTAGGGGAGGGGGGAAAAAAAAAAAAAAGCCCAGACAATGGCCTAATTTCCAAATTAGCTCAGCTCCAGTGTTCACTGGCTTTGATTAGATTTGATCTGAGTGCTTTGCATTTCTGGAAAGTTAGGTCTCCTAATGCTTTAGGTTCTACTCCTAAAAATGAGCCACAATTCGCTTGAAAACAAGATCATTTAAGAAGCAAAGCAGAAAGAAACTTGAAATGCTTAGTTACATAATTAATCTCCAATTAAAAGTGACCACAGGTCTACTTTTCTGTTTTCTGTAAAAATGCTGAAAATTTTCTGAGGTAAATTTAAACAAGTAATTTTAATTTAGGCACTCTGCTGATGATGATTTTAAATCAACATCTAATGACGAACTGGAGCAAAATAATATGTACACTACTTGCATAAGTTTTCCATAATGCATGTATTTATGGTGACTAGAAACAGGGCAACTATAGAAGAAGAAACAATCAACAGAGCTCCTGTCAGTTTGGCAGAGCACAGCTGGAATTCAGAGCTGTGAACATTCCCATTGACATGCATAATTTTAGTGCACAGGCAGAGAAACGGGAAGAGACAACTTCCCGCGCTCTCAAAAGGACAGAAAATCAAAACTGTTAAAGAAAAATTTCAGGCTGCCTAAGTGCTAACAGGGAATACTAGCACAAATTATGAAAGCAGGGAGTTGCGATGGCATATCCTGACTGTTACCAAAATTGAAAAACATTTGGCTCTCACATCATCTGTGTCAGTGGGCAAAGAAACAGTCCACCTACTGGAAAAATGCAAAACACTAGCCATGCAATGGCAGAAGCTGAGAAACCAACAATGGGAAGACGACTGCCATCTTTGCCATCCTCTGGGACACAGGCAAAGTAAACACAAAGAGGTATTTGTGAACATAAAATGTCAGCTTTCACAGATGTCAATTCAGCAACACTTATCAGCACCAAATTATTTTCTTGATAGGTAATAAAACACAGCATCAAAAAACCCAGAGGTCAGTGTCTTCTTCCCCAGTCAGCATGGTAAAGCTGGATTCAAGCGTGCATCTTGTATGCCATGATACTTGCACAAGCTATCTAAATGCCGTAATTTCAAAGTTAGGAAATGCCCAATTTTGCAACCCTGGTTTTGAAATCTTTTTTTCTCCTAATAAATACTTAGTTGCATTGTGCAACTTCTGAATTCTGCTCAGTATTACACAAATTGCTAAATGGATCTATCTTTTTCTTCTCTATGAAGGCTCAAACCGTATGAGAATTTACTGACATGCCCACAGCAGTCAGCATTATAGCTGGGATCCTTGTGATTCCCAAGAAATGATCGTTAGCATCACAGAGTATCCAGCCTCTCCCTGCAGAAAGCCAGAAGGGCACTGGCTCTCCTGGCCTAATCCTGTCACTCTTTTCATGACTCTCCAGACACACCAAGTGTCCACATCGCTTTCCTCCCATTTTTTATTGCACTTTAGTCTCCTCCCCAGGGTTATTGTTTCTTGAAATCCCTCACCTTCCTTTCTGTGCTTATGCTCCCATCTGTGCTGCCACCGCATCCTCCTCCCCAACACAAGCAGTGCACAACTACACAACCACAGGTGATGCAAGCCCCAGTGAGGCTGTCAAGACAAAAGACCACCTTCCTTTGGGCTAGAAGGAAGACCTTCTAACATATACAATTCCCCACCTCTCCATGAAATCACTTTCACACCACTCACTCTCCAGGCACAGCAAACGAGGACCTCACAGTAAGCAACAACTGACCGTAAGGCACCCTCCCTTCCTGCTGCCAGGAGCACAAAACCACGGCAGGTTTCCCAGGCAGCCTACCCTGCTATTTTTAGATTTAAAAAAAAAAAAATTATGCGTTTGTAAAACTTGTAAGTTACTATGATGAGGGATATGAAGCTCAATATGCGGCGACAGGCAAATTTACAAGCAAATTGCTTCCTCCAGCAGAAAAGGTGGGGGTTAAAGGATTCATCTGTCAGAGGGCATAAATTGCAAGTTCTCCAAAAATAACTTTTTTCTTCAAGGGCTTTTGTGAGCTTTAACAGAATACAGACCCGCTTCAATGTTTGTTATCAAATAGGCATCAATAAAGATTTTAAGGCTTCATACATGAAAAAAACAAACCACAGAACTGCCACGAGATTTTGCTTAAACCTGAATCTTTCAATTTGCCCAAAGTTTTGTTTCCAAAAATAGAAGAAAAAGTTAGCAATACTTGCATTTTAAGCAATCAAAATTACACAGTAAGAAATGCGCAATTTACCTTTGACAGCTGAGTTTTATTTACATAGTTCATTTATTTTAGACCGGTAAGGACAGGCTGGATATATCCTTTGCTTTAGTTCTCACCCTTTAAAACCTCAAGCACAGTGCCATTTTTAGACTGTCTCATGAAAAACATCATTTTTACACTCTTTTTCTTATTATACAATATATATGGACTCGTTTTCTGCTGACGTAAGTTAAAACCTTAAACTAGCATACCAGTAGCCCTTTGTGACTAACATACATGTAAAGCATGGGATTATTTACATTTCAAACTGTAACCAGAATACTTTGTAGTTGCTAGGTGCTTACAAATTAGATGAAGCTTTTTAAGATAATTTGATGTGGTCTTTACCTCCACCACGAAGCTTGCTGGAGGATGTGCACTAGTGCTAAAAGAGGACAAAAATTCTGAGGAAACTGAAATTCCCAGTTTTAGGCTGAAACCTTCTGTGAAGACAGAAATTTACTATTTTCCTGATTCTGCACTAGAAATATGCCATCAAGTAGTACTCAGGAAACTAATGCTTGATCTTAAAGCAGTGAATATTTATAATCTTCAGTGGAATACTGGAAAAGATCCTTTTTTTTTTTCCCCAACTCATATTCCTGTCCTTTTCTTTACTACTACGTGCTTTTTGGGGGACAAAGATTACAAGAGGACCAAAGTATTATACAAAAAAAAAAAAAAAATCCCAAAGATTACAAGAAGACAAATAGGACATTAAAATTCTTATTTTTCCGATTATTATGGGTGCATCATTAGAAATATCATGTTAGCCTTCAACTCCAAAGAGCAACAGGAAAGAGCAAATGGGTTTGCTTCTACTTGCTTTGTCTTTCTTTAAGAAAAAGCAAGCTAACTCTAGCCTTGGACAAGTCAACCTCTGAGCTATCAGGGGTTGTAGGCACTGTCGTAGGTCCTCAGCCTGGCTGCGGAGAAGCAAATTAAACAGAAATTATTAATGTAAAACTACAAGGATGATCAGTGGGACCCAATCACAGCTGCAGTGCCAGCACCCTCTGCTAACTTGGATTTGATCCCAAATCCAGAATTCAAGAGCTGCCCAGGGAAGAGATATGTTTTAAGATCCTTTTCTGCCTCACTGGGTTCTCCCAGATACTGAATCTGGGTTGTGACAGTGTCAGTGCTGCAGTGAGAACTGTCCAAATGACCATGAAATAAAGTCCCTGAAATTCCAAGTCCATCTTCCCCTACCACTTAAACATACTCTCACAATACAAAATACTGCTCAGCTTCTTTCTCATTTCTTCTCAGGCTCACAGGACTGAGTCTATCATTCAAAGTTATTTGAAGATGCCTACTGGCAACTAACGGCACTCGCAAAAGTACCTGCGTGTCTTAAATCAACAGGCACACATGCTTTTAAAAAAAAAAAGGGGTGGTGTGTCCAGCAGCACTTTCAAAGATACAGACATCTCTGAAAGCAAGCCCAGTAACCCCTCACACACATAAACTACGTGACATAGGAAGGCTGCAATCCTGAACCGGACCTTTCAGTGGTAACTAAAGCACAGGTAAACATACAGTATGTTCCCGTGTGAAAAAAGTCCCTTTTCTGGTAAGTTTCTTGAGAAGTATTCTGGTCTTGAAGCAAAACAAAGTAGTAAGTCAAGCTTACCATTAAATCCTTATTTATGTTTTCCCATACAAATTAAGTCCCTAGTGTTCTTGCAGTGTATTTATTTGTTTTACTAACAAAGACACCTGTAACACAGCCACCACAAATCCACCACAATACCCCTAGTTTCACTGTATGTACCTGCCGCCCCTTGGAGCCTGCCACAAACCCCTGGAGCCGGGGAGCTGTCAGAAACACGTCCTTTTGGCAAAGAGATAAGAAATCGGGTTTGACATCATTACCACATAAACCCGAAGGGTAAGTTTTGATATGGGAATTGTAATAAATCCGCCCCAAAAAGTTTGGCTTTTATTTCCCAGATTACCAGGGCAGACCATTTCTGACAGAAACCAGAACCAATACATTTGCATGTATGTAACGAGCCAAAATCCTGATGCTGCACTTAACACAAAAAACTATCAAGCAATCCTGATAAGACGCATACACACCAGCCCTTTTCAAACTCAATTTATTTCCTCCATCCCAAGCTGGCCGGTTACTACTCAGCATAAAATTATTCAGCATTTACACTGCAGTAGCAATTATTGATCCTGATAAGAGTCCAGGACCCCTCTTACACTGATACAGGACTTAGAAAGAAAGCTCAGAAAGGTTAGACACCAGCCAGCTCCAAAAACAATTACCTTTACTAAATCCATATAAAGCAGTTCCAACACTCTCCTGCGTTACTGAAAGACTGCATTATGCACAAGCTTAGAACAAGAATATCTAGATAGTTACAACGAAACCTCACGTGTTCAAATTTATTTTGCTGTAATCAGAGGAGAACAGTGGGCCACTCTGAAGCAATCACAACAGGGCACACGATGCATTTATCCCGACACTGTTCTAGGTAACATACTTCTAAATATGCAGACTTACAATACTGTTCATCAGCTTGTATTTAGCGTATACTTCCCACTGTTCACCCAACTGCTTTTAGAAGGGTGTGGGCTACCTGAAGGGATAGTGGTTTTTAAATGCAAGTCACTGCGGGTCTGATCTGGATTTCACTGAAGTCAGCAGTAAGAGGGTTCCCACAGACCCAAATGGGAAGTGGGTGCACCTAAAAAAAAATCTGTTGCACATGTGAAGGCTTCATTCTTGATCCAGAAGATTATAATGAAAGGCTCACAAGACAGAAGGCCTCAAAAGAAACAGGCCAGACAAAATTATGAGAAACAGCTCAGTATTACAGGTCTCTAAGAAAAGGGAGCGCCTATATAGGGTCTTTTCAAGGGCACAGTGTCTGCCCTGTCTTTCAACAGTGCACGTTTTGTGGCTGCCATTACAGTAGCAGGTATCAAACAGGTACATCAAACCCACTTTTGCTTACAAAAAAAATCTTTTAAAAATCTTTTGGATCTTCTGCATTACAGAGAGGGGAATCTAGTCTGACTCTCCCCACAATGTTTTTTCAACAGGATACCCCATGGAAAGCTGTTGCCAACCTATGCTATTACCTGTTGGATGTTTCTCACAAGCACTAGCAGTATATAACTGACTTATTTTTGCTGTAAAAACAACCATCTATCTTTCATTCTGCTGGAGAAAACAGAGCAGGCAAACTGTGAATCATCCAACCAGTTATGAAGCTCTCCATGAACCAGCTTACACCAGATCATCTCTATGGCTGTAGCTACTCAATATTTAAGCAGAGAGTTAAAAATTTACAAAAATTGCTGCTTGCCACAAGAGGCCACTGATTGCCAGTCACTATCACTAACTGGAGTTTTCAGATCCCAGAGTGCTTCCTTACAGCTTACTGCTTGCAGAGTAAACAACGGTATAAACATCTATTTTAGGTACCTTAAGGGGAAAAGAAAATTCTCTTTTGCCTCTGCTGAGGAAGGACTTCTAGCAGCCTGTGGATTGTACAAGCACTTTCATTATAATAAAGCACTTGCATCTAAATAAATAGCTACCATAGGTGTCAAACTGCTCATGAAAAACCCTTGCAGCAAATCAGCTGACCTGCAGACTTCACTAGCTCTTGAAACGGCCTGTCATGGAGATTTCCATGTCTCCACAAGTGGCTCCACGTTTCTGAGCTAGGGTCTGAGGCCACTGGGGATCTGAAAGCCAGGGGGAGAGAGGGCTGGAGCCCAGGCCAGCTCTCGACCAGCCCCTGTATCTCCAAGGAGGCAGGGAGAGGCAGGAGAGCCACAAGGACTTCAAAGTTGCAGCACCTCAGCTCAAGAACTCGGCTCCCAAGAGCAGTGCATCCCTCCTTGGTCTGCCCCTCCAGAAGGGGCCACTAACCATTGGTGTTTCTGGCAGAGAAGGCCACTGACGCAGAGCCGGGTGCAAGGGCAGCTGGGCTCAGGTGAAGGGTGGTTTGCAAGCAGGGGCTGATTCTTCTCCTTTGATGACACTGCTGCTGGCTGCCTGTCTGGACAACACCTGTAGTCACGCTACGCACATGAGTAACTACTCACAGCTTGCCAAAAGCTATGACATAATTAAACCCTTTAATCCAACCAGGACTTGAGTATGAAATTAACATCCATGTAAGCACTGCAGGTTTGCAGGCACCCTTCAGGTCCTTGTTTGACCTAAACCTCGCAGGTGATCCCTTAAAGCAGGCACTAGGGAGCTCCCTAACAAACCTTAAACACTGCCAGGTTTTAAGAGTGAAAACCATATTTCAGAGTAAACTTAAGGGGGAAAAAAACCCACCTGTTTCTTCTGGTAACAATTACTTAAGCTTGGGGGGAGGGTACAGGACAACAAAAAATTACACCACAAAAAGCTCATTATTTTGACAACTGTGACTAAGTCCTCAAGGATTAAAGAAAACACCTACTGGATTATAAATGAAAGCCTGGAGTATATTATGTAGAATAACATGATAGTCACCTTAAGGAAATTTTTCATAAAAGAGGTGCAATCCTTCATATATGTGTGTTTGCATGTATTTATTTATCTGGGGACTACTTCTAATCTGTCAAATTCCAAAGCACATTAACCTATTACAAGGTACTTCCAGCTGTCACAGCCTACTTGTATTAAAAAAACAAAAAACACCAAACAACAAAAAACACCAACACATAGCTTGTACTACTTCCTTCTGCATATCATTACCATCCAGATCAGAAGCATTTCTTTAATCCTCTATTCAAGCACACGCCTGCTGTAACCAGGTCCTAGGGATTCTAAATGAGAAGGAGAAAGGAAATACAGAAGAAAACTAGCTTACAGGCAAGTTTTAATTACTCAGAGAACTCTTTGGGAGATCATGATGGCAAATTTTAAGTTTGGGAATGTTTGTGTGATTACAGCACTATTCACTGACCTTACTGAAATACAATTTCCAATTCCTTGATGATTGCAAATAGAGCTATATTTGCTACTCGTATCTCAAGTCAGCCACAAACTATGTGTGCTTACTTTCTTAGAAAAAACTTATTTTAAATGCTCGTACGGAAGCCACATGTAAAGCCAACATATAGCTATGAATAACTAAGGCTGCGTATGCTGCCCACAGATAGCACGCTAAAAACGTTCCTGTGAATGCTATGTGTGGTTTTAGAGTCTTAAAATAAAGTAATTACACGAAAAGGTAGGCTAGACTACAAAACTCAAGAACTGTGTGTATTATCAGCACTTTGTTTTAATAATTGGGTATCTGTCATATCAAAATAACTGTTGCTGACTGCAGCAATTTCCATAGCTCCCACACTCTCTCGATGGGATTGGTGATGATACTTGCTAATCACCTGTGCAAGACACTGGGGGGGAAAAAGTCAAGTAACAAACATACTGCAGGATTTACAGAGCAAAGCCTCAAACGTTTTTCCCCTTTCCCACTTGTTAAGCTTCACTTTTCATAAAAACATCTTTATTTCACAAAATTATTTACTGGCCTATCAACATCTCCCAACTTTTTCTAAACGTTACGTTAAAGGAAAGATAGGGTTGCCTTGGGCCTGACTTCACGTGATGAGCTTTAACCTGCAGCAGAGCCCCGTGCTAAGCCTAAAACCTGGAACAACAAAACAGAAAAGCCCTCTTATGTCTCAAACTGTTATTTTAATTTAGCCCAAATTGGACTGGGATCTTCAGCTTTCAATTTTCCTGTCACCCTGACACTCCTCAGATCTCACAAGCACCCTCAAAAAGCCAAGTACAACATAGACACTACTGGGGAGGCAGAGAGCCCAGGACTGCTACAAATCCCTCCTGCATCCCAATGACAAAATACGAATACCCAGGTTGGGCCAGCTACTGCTGAGAGTGGAGTTCCTCTGTTTTTAAGGCTGTTAAGAGAAACTGTAATTAAGCAACCTAACTTCCACAAAACTGGATGAGAGCTTTCATTATATTACCTATGCATCCCTACCCTTCTTCAGGAAAGGATTTGAGTGTATTTCACAATTCTAACTTTTCTACAGTTACAATATTGTACAAATATCAACACAAGATTATTTTAATAAAATTTTAATCAAAAACATGGTAGGGGTTCTGAATCAAATTCCAATAAAGACAGAGGGCACCAGCACTACAGCTGTGTGAGACCAAGAGCCACAGAGCACTAGAGAAAGGAAAGGAGGATGTACAACTGCACAAAGAAAATAGCAAATACCAGCACTTTGGCTTCAGATTGAACTTTTTAAACCACCACTTTAGGGACATGTAAAATTTATATGTACACACAACAGGGTGCATTTGCTTTGGGAAGCAAATGTTCTTTCAGAGGCAGCATTAGAATATTTTGTGTTGTCAATAAACAACAGTCTTTGAAAAGCAGGTATCATTTGAAAAGCATCCCCATATTCAACACATTTTTATTTTGACAAGGTCAGTACAAAGTAGACAATTACCTCTACTCTCACCATACAAGCATCATCCCTTCTTATCCTACAAGGACTCCTTCTCCTTCTATCAGAAAAGAAGCAATCCAGAAAATGATTTGCTCGTGCTAAAACCTGAACAAGAAGTAACAGTAGATGAGCCTACAAATCTAACTCTAAGTATTCAATGAAAGGTAAGAGAAAACAAAGTTTAAATTCTCCCTGTATTTCCAGCTAATGTTCTTTAACAGAATGAAATGAAGCACACTACAAGAAAATCAAGAGTTTAACAAAAAAAAAAACCCAAAAAACCCAAACCCACAAAAAAACCAACCACACACACAAAACCCAAACAACAACCAGGAAGTCTGTACTACAAGCTTTGCTTCACAGACATGTCTTACCC